TKRTTTTTTTGKGWCGARCGSCCTTATGGGGCCTSTCGTCACTCTGTCATCGTGTTGAGTGACCGAACCGTAACCATCCAATTTTAGCAGGCGTTCCTTGCGAGTACTTGATATGTTTTAAAAGTTGAAAAGAAAAAATCTATAAAGGAAAAAATACAACAGCAAAGGAAAAAGAAAAAAAAGAAGAAGAAAAGAAACAGGAAATTACAAAAGAAAAAGAAACAATAAACAAGAAAAAAAGAGAAATCCCAGTAGCAGGATTCGAACTCGTGACTTTTACTTCAGGAAAAGACGTCCCCCCCCCCGGAATACATAAGAAATAATGAAAATAAAAAGCTAAAAAGTTGGGACGATTCCCCCGAGACATTCTATGAAGCTGAGGCGGCGAATCGGCTTACGTTACGGTTAGAGATTTCGGCCCTTCCACGCTATCCCGAGTGAACATAAAACTTAGTCTTAACCAAAAGGCCAGGGAGTGAGGGGGTAGCCGCCCACTAGAGCATACCTTTAGCTACCCTCTTAGACCATCGTACTATGAAGACACTTATAGATATCTAAAATCTAATTGGGGTAGTCTATTCGGTGAAGTTCTATGCTAATATATGACGTCACCAAAATCCTTAGGGAGCAGCGAGCCAATCAGAGCTCAGCTCATGAATAGCAAAGATTCAGGGTTTGCATAATCATTCTTCAGTGGATTTATTATTTGATGGGGGGTGGGGTGGGTGCTGAGTGCCTGTTTGCGCCCGAATACCGATGTACTCGATGTAATGTGGCGGCTTTCACCGAGCTATTCAATTGTCGTTATTGTTTTAATCACAGGAAAATTCGAGGAAAATGTGTACAGTTTTTGTAGTATTCAAGTAAACAGCACAACAAAAATCTCTTGAAATTCTTAACGTTGCAGTGGTTTACAGACAAGGATCTCGAACCAGGTATATATAGCTRTTGCCAAGATGCCGGGATTCGCAAGACCTTTGAAACTCCAACATTACAATCGAACGTTCGACATTTTCGTTCTTGGTGGTATAAAAATTAACAAATGGATTGATATTGATTATCAAATAATTATTAAATCTAAATATAGTGAATGTTGACAATTCATGCAATTGAAAAGAATGAATGACAATCTATGGAAATGATAAAGAATTGAAGAAAAACTTAGCAATCTTTGGGTTTTATTTCAAAACTATAATCAGGCGAATAAGAGTAATCATAACATGTAAAAATACAGTTTTTTTATCATTTAAAAATAATATAAACATTTTATCGAACAATGAACGCAAAGCTTACAGCAAAGTTAAAGCTCTGAAGACTCCATGTCCTGGATAACAATTCCTTTTCCGAATCTTTCAGAGACAGATATGTTTATTAGGCTGAGAAACAGGGCGCCCCGCGTCAGGCCCCACGGGAGGAATCATCAACCATAACAATAGGTTGCTTGGCCCCTGGGAATCTCTGCCTGGTGTGTATTTATAGATAACGTAATGCTTGATCACAACTTGATGCTTTTAGTTCTTTGCAGGGTACAGCTAATTAAAGATAGTGTATTCAAAGAGCGAAATGCATTGTGGGTCTTCCTACCGTTCGCCATTCAAAAGGAGCTTTCAAATGCATGGTTTCAGAGTACTATATGCCAGCTCCGTGTTGTGGTCAAGAACTTCCAAGGAAAGCAACATAAATTTAGAATTGCCATTTTGTAACGCAGCAAACTCGAAGTTAACTAAATCTCTTAATGGCCTGAGTCACATGCAGTCATCGACTGGCTATTTTTTCATTTTGACTTACAGAACACTATGCAAATATCGACAACGTACCTGTACCCCCTCCCCTCCCCCCCAAAAAAAACCCTGAAAATCCAAACATTTAATTAACTGCTGCGTGTGACTGCGGGAGTATTGCGTGACTACAGAGCCACTAATGTTGTGAGCCACTCCTGTGAAATTCCATTTAGAACCGCTCACCTTAATAATCCAACTCGCAAAACTCCGGTGCATATAATACTTGCGAAAAAGYGTTCGCTGAGGAAGCATGAGTCCGCCAGCCGAAGAACAGGAGAGCATTCCTCTTGGCGGGGAAACAGTTACATGTAACGAAGGGAGACCTGGCTATTTCTTTAGCAAAACCAAGRTTATTGCAGCTGTATTGATACTCGTACTGTTGGTTGTAGTTGTCATTGTGCTTGCTATATTACTAGGAATTGAACTTCGTAGCAGTGGTAAGGAATCAAAATTACTCGTGAATATTTCATTCTATCATTCAGTTGAAAATTTCTGTAATATAAGGGTTTGAAAATGCGGAAGATAAAGAGAAATTGTCACTTCATTACACAGAGTAACGCTTTGAAACGTGGTTTGTTGGTATTTATATATATTTTCACTTGATTTTGCGTGGCAGCGTATTAAATACAATCTAAATATTTTACTATTTAAATGATAAATATATATCAATTTAAGGCTTTCGTGGGATGTAGTAACAGAGGAAGATGTTGTTTTGATTTTATCAGCGAAGGTCACCGTTCCTTATGCATGTCAAGTATTCAAGCGTTGTTACTGACAAAACGACTTCTAAGTAAATAGACTTCTGAGTAAATATGTTGTTGTTCACAATAATTATATGTTWACTCTCGCTTTCTTTTCGTATTTTACTTCCCTCCCCTTTTATTTTTATGACAGTTTTTCAATTCTTGTGTATTCTACGAAAAAAAATCGACAAAATGCAAGCGGGTGGTAAATCGTTCGCACGCCCTCACACCAYACGGCGCGTGTAAGGAAGCAAGACTTGAAGATAAAATCAGGCTAAAAATGGTGGCTAACTGTTAGAGTCAAAAGCGAACAAAATTAAATAAAGGTTATATGTAAAAAAACAATAAACAGGTGGTTTCGAAAACGAAAGAAGACATAATTATAATCTACAAGAATTGATCCACAAAAACCGCATTATTAAAATTACTRATGTTTGAAAAAATGTTTCGTCGCGTATCAGTTTCGAAATAATCTCTAATTTTGATATTTTTTAAAGCTATATATATATTTGAACTGAGATTTCGTCAGTAGATTTACGACATGATTTGGTTCGTTKGGGATTTGAATGAATAATGAGTATAACACAAAAAGGCACATCAGCAGATGGCTGGCAGACACGTGACCGCTGTATCAAACACAAAAGAATTGGTCAATGCGAAAAATACCATATGTTCAAAACCACTTTAAATAATGTTCTTTTTTGTTTTTGGTCAAAAAATCTCAATTGTACGCGCGCGTGAACAGTTGCGTTACAGAAAACACTTTTCCACCAATCAGAGCGCGCGAAAAAGTGTCCAATGTGGAAAGCGTGCGAAACACTACAACCGCGCGTACATTTGAGGATTTCTAGTTCTATACAAAAAATAAATAAATAAATAAAAAAATAAAATAAAATAAAATAAAATATTCTTCCACTTTATAGGTACAAAGGATACTGCTATTTTGGCTCCTCCAGAGAATGATACAATCCCCACAAATACAACAATAATGAACGTTATGCCTACAACAATAGCTCCAACTACAGCAGGGACAGAACCTTGGTGGAACCCTCGTCTACCATCRAATATAGTCCCTCGGCATTATGACCTTTTTTTGAATATAACAGTGGACCAACCRAGCTTTGATGGAAGTGTTGATATAAGAGTAGATGTGAAGAAAGCTACAAATCTTATTATTTTGCACAGTACTGACCTTAACGTGCAATATCTTGAAGTGAAGAGAATGAACAAGGAAGGTGAGTTTTGGATGGCTGGCTGGCTGGCTGGCTGGCTGGCTGGCTGGCTGGCTGGCTGGCTGGCTGGCTGGCTGGCTGGTTGGTTGGTTGGTTGGTTGGTTGGTTGGTTGGCTCGTTTGTTCGTTGGCTGGTTCGTTGGTTTAATGGCTGATTGATCATTCGATCTCTCTTTCAGGTATCATTGCAACAAAAAAGCACTTTGCTTTTCCAAAATATAACTATTACGTAATTATGATGGCGAGAATTCTAGAACCAGCGCAATACCTTATACGGCTAGCGTTCGATGGATTGTTCCAAGGCTACCTTGGAATGTACCGAGCTACATACACACGTAGGAACGGCGAAAAGGTGTAAGTGGATGTTATTCTTCCAAATTCACATTTAAAAAAAATCTGACTCAATTTTTTAACAAGTTAATTCATATTTGGCTAAATATGGTAAGCACAACTGCTTCCACATTTGCAACCACAAACTTGTATACCCATGAGTTGAATCCGTAGGTTGGTAGGTATTTTTCAGAGAAACAGAGCTGACATGCTACAAAAACCAGCAAGGCTCATAACCACGTAACAATGTATTTTTCAGGAATTTTGTTGCCACACAATTCGAGGATCTAGAGGCCCGTCGTGCTTTCCCTTGCTTCGATGAGCCCGCGATGAAAGCAACTTTCAACGTTACAATCGCCCATCGTCCTGACTATATTGCTCTTAGCAACATGCCGATCTACAAGTCGGAGATGTACAAGCATCAGAGAGTGAATCATTTCAGGACTAGTGTGGTGATGCCTACCTATCTACTAGCTTTTGTCGTGGGTGACTTTAACTCGACAGAACAGCTCACTAGTAATGGCATTAAGGTGAGGAATAAACCAAAGCTAATTAACTTAGGTAC